GAAGATTAAACATAATAGTTTCAGGATATCTTCATAAAGCATTGTCATGACTTGACAATCACGTAATATGATCGATAAAATTAATGAAACTATTCACAAAATAGGTCGGCAAATTGACTTATGATTATCACTAGTGTTGTTTTTCTTTTATCTTCATTCACTACAGATGATTACAGTATGTTTCTCTATCAGTTGCTCATTCAGTAAATCTCTCAAAACCTTGTCAGTCTAATTGATGGTTTAGCGACACAATCATGCATGCAAATAATCAGTATAAGCAGTCGAGCAAATCTCCTGCAAACTGAAAACAATAATGTCGAATTTACCGCAACACTAACTAAGGTTCAAGCTATTATCATAGACATGAGTTGGGAGTGTACTCCCCCTGGTTACGACTTATGTTCTCCCTGTTAATCAAATGAGCATCACTCACTATTAATCATCTTGTAAAAGCTTATTTAGCCAAATACATCCTGCAGCACCATATCACTTAGTAATATGACACATAGTTTTACTAACTTCAATAACGTATAACCACTATATCTCAATTAAATCGTATTCCGCCTTACGATAAACTGCATACTTTCAACTAACTTGTATACCCAATCAGCCGGCAAGTATAGATATAAATAAATAGTCTGCCGCAGATCAGAACATTGAGTCTAGAGCATGTCTCTTACGAATACACTCATGTTTAACGATTTATTTCTAGCTATCTGTCCGAAATTCACATATTCATCACTCACGTATTTAAATTTTGTTTTGATAACCATACACGTGTATTAGTAGTATTACTTAATTCTATCACGGTCAGGTAAACATGGGGTTGAGAAAATCTCCCCGTAACTAAATAAACCGTATCAAACTTAACTGGAACACTAGTTGGAATTCTTCTCCACGGTAATATTTTTGTTCCTTCAGTTAGCCTACTAATACAGATGCAATTGGAAATCGACTCATATGGACAACTTACCGGCATAATCGTTATTTGATTTCATAAGTTAGACTAAAAGTAGTACAATTATTACCATTTCTACAATATTCATAACTTTAATATTTCTAAACACAAAATACTTACTACCTATACGTTAAGTTATCAACCAACGGCTATTACACACGCATCGTTTTATTATCACTATTATTATTATTATTATTGTAATCCCATTTTTTTATAGCTCAAATAATCACTCAAATTTTCATTGTAAGCGTGTTAAGCATGAAGGCAGATATTTTGAAATTATTACATGTATTTCCCGACCAGATGCTGCCGTCTTCTTTTTTGATTTATCTTTCAGCTTGTCATCACCCAGGGGATTCTTACTAGTCTTCGTAACCTTCGGCACACTACAGTTCCATCCAATTTGGTGTCGAACAAACAGCACGTTGATTCTGGTGGGAGAGTAGTGTAGTGGCATTCGACCATAACCACACAATCCTCAAAGCTGAATACGAGATTACTCGGAAAATAGATATTCAATATTTAACGCGGAGAAATACCTAAGAATGGAGAAGGCGCAAACAGGGAATTTAATGAATTAGAGTTGATCGAACGGCATGGCTCGGCCATGCAGGTGTGGTCTCTGCTGAATGTTACCTTATATCTTCTATTCATATTAAATATATTGTTCCTTCTCTAGCCTAACCTTGTTCTACATCATGTATTGGTAATTGATACGATACAGTGAGTTGGTGTAGGCGATGGTGTGACTTCCACGTAAGATCTTATAGATTAGGCAGTCATACCATGACAAATCTACAAATTTAGGATTAGGTCTATTATTAGAGCTGTACTAATATCATAGTAGATCATAATACTACATGACTTTTTTCGACTAGTTTTTCACAAATCCATGAGAATGGGATCGATTATTAGCCAAGTTATGTTTAATAATGTGACCAATCATTGACGCAAACAATTCAGTGTGTGTTTCTTTCAAATCTCGCATCTTATTACCAATGCTATGACAGAACTGTTACTAGTTCATTATTCACTTTATATTTTTTTTTCCAATCATACCTGAGTATCAGCTAGACCATCTACAATTAGTTCAAATCACGAAGGATTGAGGTGCTTTGTTAAATATTGATGCCGCATTCCATGAACATATTCAATTTCGAATGATATTTCTCAGTATTGAGACTATAACGGAAAGGATATTTACAATGGGGTCTTGGTTGATTTAAATGGTCACATAATCATGTATACACGATAGTGTTAATTGACAAGTGCAATGTTGTAATCTCTTATTAAATTACCCATGTTTGTATTGAATGAAAACAATGACATAAATACACAAAATTATATTTTAATATTTTCCCAACAAAGTGACATCAGTCATTACATAAACAATCATCAATGTGACATGCGGTTGCATGAAACAATCTTCAATGTATTGGAATGATTAACAGAATAGAAAGTGTGTTTACTAAACTACAAAATGAAAATAACAAAGTGAACTTTATAAAAACAATTGACACGCTGTTTGTGGGGACTATGGATAAACTCTCTTCTTTCTGTGGAACCATAGCCAAATACCACAACCAATGCAAACAATAAGGAAAGATATAACTAATGGTACAACGATATACACGTATTGCGGTGATTTTCTTTCCCCAGTGTCTTCAATTTTATCTGTAGTCATGTTCTGAAATGAACGAAATGGTATAATGATTACAAAAATATCAAATATCTACCAAATGTGATTTAGTGCTTGGATTAGTCTTCTTCGATTGATTTATTAGATCAGTTTCAGTAGTTGCTGGAGTTGATGGTTCAGTGGAAACATTGAAAATTGGGAATCACTACACATTCTATGAACTAAAGAATTACCATCTTTCCAGGTATTAGTGTTACACAACTCTTCTATTCATTGTTGAATGTCCACATGGAAATAAAGCATTGCATTCATATAAGCTTCAATATCGTATAAGTTACTGTGATTTATGCACTTGTGGTACACTAGAATTCACTACTAATTCGTAACAATACAAATGTTCTTCCGAAAAAAAAAGAATTGCAATATGGAATATCGTAATAATAAGAACAATATTTGAAGTCTACCAATTGCTTACTTGATTCTGGCAACGATTTACTTTGAAGTCATGAACGTCCTTATCATTGCTGGTAATGCATGCCTTGGCTGTCTCACACCAAATACACGTTGTATTTGATGTTGTGGCGTCATGACATGCTGCAGTCGAATTGTGTTTTGGACAATCTTCAGTGAAAAGAAGAAGAAGGTGATTGCATTTCAAGTTATGAAACAAAAGGTAAATGAATTACAAAAACAAATGTAACTCTCACTCAATAAGTAATTCATTCTCTGGGTATTTGTCATCAAATTGCTCAATCAGAAATTCAATACACTTTCAATGTCATTCACATTTCCTGAAACACGTTGCATGTTGAACGATGAAATTTGACAGGCGAATGTCACGGATGTCAATGACTGTTAATATTACAAAAGAAATGTACACGCTAGACGGTCAACGAAACTCGTTCCTGCTTCATGATTGAAATGTTCCCTGTATGCCATGTTTTCATATGCAAAATGGAGAATAAAATTGTTATTTCTTTCTAACTGACTATTTAGAAGCCGAGGCACGAACGTCAGTAGTACTGAAAGAGAAAATTTATTTTGCATTATGTTCATTCAATCGAACAACAAAGGAAGTGTGACATTGGTTCTCAATTCATTGTTGAGATTTTCCTTGAAGAGATTTCCGTCAACCTACAACGATAGAAAGTTTCAAACTATGTGGCTACATTCTACTCTGTGTGTAATCAGTTAGCATGTTAGACTAGTTGTATCATGAAAATTCGTCGACAATGAATAATATTCTAGTCAACGAATATTGAAGTCAATCTGGACATCAGATTATGGGATGATTCTTTGTGTTATTGAAATATTATTTTAATAGTTTAATACGTGATGAACAAAACAATGTTTGTGTTTATTCACTGTACGTATTGAGGAGAAAGGAAACGCTTCGATACTGTGAATACCCTCAGTGATTTTGATATTGTACAAATATTTACTGACTATGATAAATTGAAATTTGAACACGTGATTTTTCTACTACTTCAATCTATCGAATGAGTAGGATAAAGTGAAGATTTTGGAAATTAAGCCATTGTTTCCAAGGCAATTACAATTTCATGAAATGTTTGTTTAATGTCAATTCCTCGATGAAATTCGACGTTGCATGTACCAAATGAAAATC